AGAAAGATAATAATAGTCCTTAGGTTTTGTTTCTCCCCTATGGACTACAAGTTGAAACCCTGAGATAAAGAAAATGAAACATCATTTAAGGTGCTATTTAGACTTTATCATAGCTATTATTCTAAGGCTTTCTTTTATTCCATTTCATTTATACTAAGTTTCTGCATCTATATCATGATTAAAGTTTAAATTTATCCTTCTTTAAGCCTCCAGATTAAATAATTTTATATTGCTGAATCATAGTTTAGTAAAAACAAATTCTTTTAAATTGATCCAATAAAATTTTACTCATAGAATCAAGTCTTAATAATATGAATAATGAAGAAATACTTTAAACATGGAACATTGTATGTCAAGTTCAGAGCCATGTGTGTTTGTCCATTTATATTGCTCTATAGGGCAGATGCTTAAGCAGTCCAAATGTAATAGCTGTTGGAAAATTCACACCAAACACTTAAAAATCTTTGCCGTTAGCAAACTTAGGAAAATCACAGCAAAATTAGGAGTGTTAATCTTAATCTAGTTGAAATTATTTGTATTCTACTCTCCATGGAGTCTTGCTGAATTCACATATGTATACAAGTTTGAAGGTTCAACCTAGACAACTTCCAGGGGAAGTATTGTCTTAAAGATGTATGATAACGGTCCCTGGTTGTCATTGAAGGCTGTGAATGTCCATATAGTCTCTGATAGACCAATTCTGTAGGGAGGAAACCAATTGGTGAGTTTTATTAGCTTTGCATTTCATGCGGGAATCTATAACAGAGAATTTAAAGGATCGTTAACCATCATCTTTACCCTGAGGGGAGAAAGAAATCTAAATGTCCCAAATCTATTTAATGTTGGGCTACAAGTACAGAATGTACTGAATGACTGTTGTGGGTCAAAATGCTTATGCAGTACTTTCAAGCCCATGAAACTAGACTCTCTGTATCACTGTTGACATCTACCCTAACAAGGAAGAGTTCCTATTGAGGAAAATGACATTCTTTGCTTCTTGTATCAGTGTAGAAAATAGCATTCTATGTTAGATGCTAAGATACCTGAATTCTAATTGTAGGTTTTATTCCCTTAACTTGTCAGCAAATCATAACAAGCCACAATTTTCACACTTATGAATTTGATATTTGATATTGTATCTACTTTCTTTATATTAATTAATTTTTAATTTATTTTACATCCAGTCCATAGTCTCTCCTTCCTCCTCTCCTCATATTCCCTCCCCCTTTCTCCTCCTTTGTTTCTGTTCAGAAATGGGCTTGAAACTCACAGAAGGTACAATATATATAACACTGTCAAAATGCTAAAGGAGTATCTATACATTTATGCTTATTAAGAGTGTGTTGGAAACTATACCCTGATTTAATATTTTAAAAAATGCATTACTTGTCATGGTAGGTGTATTTTGGAAAGAATGTACTGTGATTCTGTGTAATAATAAACACAGCATAAAAAAGTAATTATGTGCTTTCTGCAGTTATAGCTTGTAGAATAAATTGGAATAATCTCTCTGGTACAAATGCCTAGCCAGTTATATTACAGTACTACTTCATTTGTAATTTAGCTATTTATACATAATCTAATTATGGAATGTTACCATTCCAAACAAGTAACAGATAGGGAAATAGAGTCTAGGCACGGAAGCGTGTACCTTAAGTCACAGGTCTTTTAAGACTTATGCAGGAGGGTCATGGGTTTGAGAATAGTTAGGGAGCCCATGTTACAAGAAAACATCAAATGGGGATGATATTTTGTATTCTAAGAAATAGTTTATTTTGTGGACTATCACTTTATATATGTTACTTTTATTTTTTTCCTTTTTTATTTTTTCTTTTATTTTTTATTATCTACTACATAAGTAAGGAAAAAAAACTCTTTTCCAGAGATAAGTAAGTCTTTATACGTTAATGAAACAGAATGAACAGGGGAGAGAAAGAGAGATAATACACAGTTAGTTACTACACCCAGGTTAATTTCTTCTCACTTTTGGAACTATGTTTTAGTAATGCTACACAATAAATGGAATAGATCACCAATTCCACTTTCTCTACATTATAAGAAACACACATGTACTATGCAACGGATATTCAATAAAGGGGAGATGAGTAAGTTTGAAGTTGGATGGTGTTTTGGACATTGCCTTCAAATGTTGGTCAGACATCTTGGCCATAGCTTATTTTCTGTGAGGGATCACTCGTAGGTGGTGCCTGTTTATGTCTTTCAGCATTTATTATGCATGGAAAGCTTCAGCAAGGCATTTTTATTTATTTATTTTTTTCAAAGTATGTTCTGGCTTGAGGAAAAGTTTTTTTTTTTTCCAACAAGAATGGGACATATACTGGTTTTAATAATGTAATTCTTCACAAATGAATAGCCCAGTGTAGTTGGGAATATACCAGTTTGTTTTCTTACCTACATAATCCATTTGCCACTTATAGGATCATATATATGGGATTGTGTGTCCTGACACTGCATTTGATGTCTACTGATGGTGGCCTATACTCTTTCTCTACTTGAATTTGTGAATGATGTTTCAGCATGTAACATTTCCTTCATTCCTCCTACTGAGTTTGAGAGTTAGTCACTAGTGATTACTAGACTTTACCCCTGGAAAAAGTAGGGCTTGCAGACAGTATATAACTCCACCAGGGAACCTGCTGGTAAGTGGAGAAGCAGGTATTATGTCAACACTTGTCCTCACCCAGCCCAGCTTCTAGTCTGTCTTTAACCCTTGCATCCCTGTGTGGCGATACATTGTTTATGATTTGATAAAGCTTGCCCAGGGATCAGAATGCAAAGCCAGCCACACTAATTAGCCAGGCAGTGGTGGTGCACATCTTTAACCCTAGGACTCAGGAAACAGAGGCAGATAGAGTTCTGTGAGTGCCAAGAGCAGCCAGAGCTGCAGGAGAGTGAATCAGTCTAAAATCAGAGCTCATGCCTTTAATCCCTGCACTAGCATGGTGGAGGCAGGGGTGATATGGCTGGGCAGAGGGGAATACAGGGTGGGAGGAGTCAGAAACTGGGAGGAGGGCGGCATTCTGAGAATCCCTGGAGGCAGGGTCTGTCCTTTCAGTCTGAGGATTTCACAGAGGTAAGAGCTCACTACTTTGTTGTTCGGATCTTCAGTTTGAAACCCAGTCTGTCTCTGTGTCTTTATTACTCATGCTACAGCCCTGAAATCAAGCGTGTATCAGACAGTGGGTTTTTAGTCACAGACACAATCTGTAAGTCATCAGAATTTCTCCTTCCTGCTGCCATGCCACACAGAATGTATTTTATTAGTTTTAGGGAGCCTCAGTTAGGGAATTAATATTCTGCCTTCAGGGCAGAAGTTCTGTCTCTGTTTTTACGCATGTGATTCTCACCCCGACTCTACCCTGTCCCCCGAACTAGCAGCCTAGACAGGAGACCATCAAAGAGAACCATTAAAAAGTTGTGGTAAGGATACTGATGTATAGCTTTCCACAAGTGAGGGTTTCTGGTAGGGTGCAGGTGGGGAAGGACTCAGTTTTCTTTAAGGGGCTGGCTACTGAGATTTTGACCATGCTGCTATGAGTCAGTATATAGGTAGCACAAATTAGACTTGTGGGTTTTTTTTTTCCCTTTGTTTTCTTTTCTTATTTTTTTGGGGGGGGGCGGATTACAAGGGTGAGGTGTTTTCTTTTTCTTATTTTTTTTGGGGGGGAGGGATTATAAGGCTGAGGAACAGATCTGTGAGGACTTAGAAGTATGTGTGATCAGGAAGCATGATGGAAAATTCCCAAATAATCAATAAAAATACTGTCTTGAGGGGAAAAAAAATGTGGTTTTCTAATTGTAAAGTAGTAGCTCGATAGAATTAGGGGAAAGCATTTGTTTTCTTATCTGAAGTGCTAGCCAAACAAGGTTCACTAATCTACAAGTAGCCATGCTTGAGTGGCAGTGAAGGTAATCGCCTGTTGGGATTTGATTAGAGGAAAACAGATACTAAATGAAGTGGTTCCTGTTAGTGTACATCCGGATCATTCTCTGGGAGACTTAGTGCCTTGGAGAGTGCTTTGTCTCTTCAGGGTCTGTTACAGTAACAAAGGTGAATTAGATGATTTCCACATGCTTATACCAAGCAGTCTCCTCCATTAGAACAATTCTGTGAAATAGCTACCCCTCCTTCCTTCCAAGTCACTCTCTCCCTGGTCTTCCTTTGTGTAACACTTTCTGTACTTGAAAGTTTACATAGAATAATGCCTAGTTTTTATATCCTTGGCCACAATATTTGTGAAATCCAACTTCTGGTTAGGTAAACAGAACCCAGTGAGAACTGGAAGAGTATCCAGTGATTGCCTCTGTGTTATGACCAACTGTGGTGTTATGGAAGAAAATAAGGATATCAGACCTCTAGAGGAGCCACATTGAGAAAATATGAACACATGGATTTCATTTTACTATTGTGTTAGTATATCTTATTTAACATCACGTATTCAAAACATAATTGTGTCAACATGCAGCCGACATTTAGAATTATGATCTTGAGGCTATCACAATGGCCCAGGAACTTAAAGGCTCTTGTCACTAAGCTTGAGGGTCTGAGTTTGATCTCTAGAACTCACACAAAGAAGGAGTAACCTGATTCTGCAAGTTTTCCTCTGACCCTCCATGTATGTTCCATGCCCCCACTATCGATAAATTTAAATCTTAAAGAGAAATGACATTTTTTTTCTCTTTTAAGCAAAATCTTCAAGGTTTTTAAATATATGGCTTAGGAGAGGTGGATCCCCGGTTGAGAGCACTTAATGCTTTCGGGTTTACTACTCAGCACCCACAGTGGTCCGCTGACACCCATCTGGGGTTGTAGGGACCACAGCTGCCCCCCAATGGCACCCATACCCATATGGCAAACAGACACATGCATGTGAATAAATAAAAGTCAGTCTTTAAAGAGTGAATGTACAAATGGTTTATATTGCGTCCCCAGTAAGTGAAGATGGACCCAATTTCCAGAGGTCTGTTCTGTTTTACAGAGAAAAGTTTCAAGGAAGGTGCCTTAAAACTCAAAGAAGAACCATCTAAAATACTGTCTGGGAACAAGTTTCAAGATCGCTATGTTGTTTTACGAGATGGACATCTCTTTCTTTACAAGGACCCGAAGGTAACTGGATACGTGGGGATGTAGCATGTACGTCATTGTTTTGTGTAGGTGCTTAAGTCTTTATCTGACACTGCTCACACTCATCTCTCTTCAAAATAACAATGCTTGAAGTGAGCTGATGACTTCCCTATGTCTGATATGTATAGACAAAACTTTCAGTAACTTAGTCCAGAACTTCCTGTGGCTTTACTGTGAAATTCAGGTTCTGATGTCGTTGTTGTTGATAGAAATTTACTTCGTCGCCGAAGATACTTTAAGTGTGGTAACACAAACTGTCATATAAGGCAGCATCATCACCAATGGAATTAAGAGAACGTGTTATATTCTAAAGGCAAAAGGAGGCTCGGGTGAGCTAATGGAAATTTAATCAAGAGCGGTGTAGAAAAAACAAAATTCAAACTGTACAATGAATGTTAACATCTTCCCTATACAGTTGAATGAATTAACCGCCATATCATATTGATTGGTTTCTACAGAGTATTCCCTCTAAGTTTTGAATTTATTAAAGAAATGTGAAGTAGCACGGAGAACTATATATTTTTAACAAATGATGTAGTTACAAAATGCTGAATTTGGCATAAGAAAATCTCATCTCTGCTAAGAGTTAGTGATGTGGTTATGTAACTTAGCATCTCTGCCTCTCTTACAGATGTGATGATTAGAGCAAGGGCATTAATATTTAAACAAAACTATGTACATGAGTATCTTTTGAAATGTGAAACATTTGTAAATATATATTATCATAACACTATGCTTATAAAGATGCCCCTAAGAATAAGATTAGGTAAGAATAGGATTAGGCCCATAAAACAACTAATCTTTTGGTATTAGTGTTGTAAAGGAATAGCAATAACACTGGTGTAGCTATCATACGGCAGCAGAATATGTGAATTGGCTGGCTTTGTGGCTTGTTTCTAAAAGCTCTCCAGAATAGGGACTGTTATTATTCCTTCTTGCTACATAGAGAAATTGCCAGAAACTATATATCCAATAAGCAATAAGACAAAATCCATCCCCAGATGTCAGATTTCAAGATCTCTATGATCGGATTACCTGAGGACAATACACTAATATTAGTGTAGCTCAGTAGTTTGGCTGACAATTTATTTGAAGATGATTGGACCTTTTCATCCAGGTAGTACCATGTGTGCTTAAATGTGGCCATACAGGGGTTGGAGTGATGTCTTGATATTTAATATCACTGACCACTTTAACATCGAACTCAGATTTTGTTCCCACAACCAACATGGCAGTTCACAAACATCTGTACCCCAAGTACTAAGTAATCATATGCCCTCATCTAACATAAATGCGTGCCAGGCAACACACATAGTAGACAGATATACATGCAGGGTCATTTTCAACATCTCATAAGCACTCAGAATTTTAAACCATAGGAACCAGTTATAGGATATAATATAAATTACTAAGTGTTTAAAATCCATTTATCCCACCAAAATAAATCCATCCATCTCATGCTTTACCTTACAACCAAGGACAGCAGATGAGGGATTCTTTCCTTTAAACTCAAATTGCTATTATTTTCATCCTATGATTTTACTTTGCTCCTCATATTTTTCATAGCACAGGTCTATGAATATTGATTCTTATGTCATCATGAATACTAACTTTTCAAATGATTGCACATTAAATAATCAATAGTAAAATCCTTATATTTATTTGGGTATAGATTTGGCCCTAGGAGGGTTTTTGCCAATGTATGTGCTCTTTATACATTTAGAAAATTATTTCCTGTGAAGGAAGTAGAAATTATAAACTGAGAAGTATATTTAAAGTAACTGTTAATTAGAAATAATTTATGAATGTTCATTAACAACAAATTAGGGTAATACACAAGGGAAGATAGATTTTGTTTTCACAGGTTTTCCATGCACAGAAAATGTTAATTAAAATATGTTCAGAACTGATTTGCATAAAAGGTGAGAGGTTTCAAAGAATATCGCCATTACACTGTTAATGGTGTGAAAAAAATGGGTAAGGAGAGGTAAAAACGCAAATGAGTAAGAGGGGGTACCTTTAACAGTTGCACAAACTGATAAGCAGCTTCCTTTTAGCCTCAGGAATAATTTTGACACTCCCTTATTTAATTGACTTACTTAGTGACTTCACTCTGAAATATAGTAACTCAAGCAACACATTGTTGCTTTCATAAAAGTTTAGTCCATTGAACTTTTGGAGGCATTCTCCAGAAACTAGACATACCAGAGACAGAGGTATCATGCCAACTGAGATTTACTTTTATAGAACTTTCCATTGGGATGTTTGCAATTCCTTGTTAGGTATGTTCAGTTGAATTGTCAAAACACATGAGAGATTTCTTTGCCTCTCTAGCTATGACTTTAGGGTGGTATAAAGTGATAAGCTTGCATGCCAGGAATGGAGTGGGGAATCTCATTATTTTATACTCTTTATCTGCAGTCAGGAAGTCTTTGAAATGCAGGCAGTCTTGGACTTACCAATGTCCTGGATAAGTAAACACCAGCAACATTGAGTATGGGCACTCTAAGACGTGTGAATGCCCTCATTCTCAAGCCATTGGAGCTTCTACCTTTCACTCTATCTCATAGCCAAGCATGGTATTGTGTACCAGGGAGTGTCCCATCTAAACTGCTGGGCAAGAAATTTCAGCCTGTGTTGTAGTTTGTTTTATCCTCCCACAAAGGTAACCAGGAATCACCTTATAGCATGCATACTTAGTGACCAGCTCTCTCCTTGAATAGAGCCTATAGAGTAGTCCTTAACTGCCATACCTCATAATCACGCAAAAGATATTCAATGATTGCAAATGCTTGTTCCTTGAGATTCAGCAAGTTAGCAAGATATATATATATCCCTCAGTTGCATTTAGAAGAGAAAACATGTCCAGTATTTTTAAATGCCTTTAACAAGAAATAGAAGCTCAGAAGGAAAGAGTAGAACTTCACTGATAAACATTGATTTAACCTTACTGATATTGATTTCTAACTATATTGTAATTTTCAAATGCTTGGAGTTATATTTTTAGAACTGTGTAAAGATGATTGTTTACCTCAAAAGGAAAATAGATAAGAAATCTAGCAAGTACTTTTTGTGATTGAAGGATGAAGTATTTTTCCAACCATTAAGATAAGAAATGCATCAGAAAAACCTCAAATAATCCAGTGAAATATGTATCCATTAATTAAATTTATGATATTTAAAATAGATATATAAAATTTGCATTATTAACTGAAAACATTTGTTAAATATATTGGAGTGAAGTAGTTGTCAATGAAATATTTAATTTAAAATTTCACTCATATTGAAATCTAGAATATTTCAGGTTCATAAAAAATTAAATATTTTACATTAGTAGCCATCCAAATTCACATCATGAAAATATGTTTCTGCCCACTGTCCCAGAATATCTGAACTAACAGAAGTTATGAATGTCTAGTCCCTTTGTTGTGGTACTTGAGAAATGGAAGCATATGAATAGTTATACTCGACTACATAGTGAGTTTGGAGTTTAAAGCTACATAAGAGCTTTAATGAAAGAAATAATCAGTTTGTTTGACCTCATAAAAGAGCAAAATTAAGACAAATGACAGTTGAAATCGAACATTCTGTTTAAAAGACACCTTGTTTCCATATTAATACTTTAAGTGCTAATAAAAAGAAATAAGCAAAGACGTGTATATACATTGTTCGAGATTGAAGTTTTGTCTTAGATTAGTGAAGCCTCATATTCATAATCTGTGCTTCTGTTGCTGTTACTGGCCCATAATGGCCAATTAATTAATAAATGCATGTGCATATACCTTCCCTGATAATAAGAAACAGTGCTAATACTATAAGTTCCCTACGTAAACCGCAGGGCTCTGTCACTGTCAGAGGCCGCCTGTCAGCAAAGCATGAGTCCTCATTCCCTTCTTTGTACTTTGCCTGTAAGGATTTCCTCTGAACTCTCTTGCTATCAGTGTATAACTGTATATACATAGCTCCCACCTTTTACTTTACGAGTCTGATTGGTGGTAAAGAAATAACATCACAGGGGCACTTTAGTATATAACACGTGGTCCAACTACATGTTTGAGCTTTGGTGCGTTTTCCTGGCATCCTCACAATTAACTACAGGAATTTGCACAAGGCTGTAATTCCTTTGTTTACAGAAGTAGCTACTTCCTGTGAGCTCATTTTATGCCAATTATCAGACTAAGCTTTATAGGCATTTTTATGTTGTCGCTGTTGAACCATTACATGCAGTAACTGTTCATAATAACAGTCTGGTTACACATTCTCTTTTCTCAGTGCTCAATCTAGATGATGAGTCATTTTATTTCCTCAGTTTACAAGGAGAAATAGCAAAAACTCTCAAAATTACAAGCAGCAAACCAGATCTGTACTCAGTTGCTCTGGCCTCAAACTCCTTGTCCTTATTTACGAATCATATCTTCCTATCAGTTTAAAACCCTTTCTTTTGACATTGTTTTAGGATATGGGGAAAGACTTATGATAAATTATTTCTATGATTATTATTTTCATACAAGGAAAATAAAGAATAGGACAAATGTGAAATTTTAAAATCTAGCCTAAATTAGAACATGATGCAACATTTAGCTCTGTCAGACAAATGGCATGTGGAAAATACATACAGGCATGTGTGGAGTTCTTTTTTTATTTTGATAATAACTTTTTATTCAAAATTTTTATGTATTATGTTGCTTACTTCTCCCCTCCCCACTTCTATTAACACAACTTCATGTCAACTCCTCTGTCAATTAATAGATGATAGCTAGATAGATAGGTAGATAAAGCAGGAAAAGCAACATACAAAAAAGTCCTAAATTAAACCAAAAAAATACTTAAAAGCAGAGGTGGGGATGAAAAATCACTAAGGGGGAAAAAAGAAAGGGGGTATTTCATTGGAAAAAAAAATAATATCTCCTTCTCAGCAGGTGTCAATTGCAAATAGATTCTTGGCTAGAAGTGGGACCCTGTACCTACTTCTCTTTCTGAAGGCTAGGCTTTTGTATGGTTTGTACCTATGCAGGTCTTTTCTTGCTTTCAGTCTCTGTGAGTTCATACATGCATCGGTCCTAATGTATCTAGAAGATGCTGTTTCCTCCAGTCCTCCACTTGCTCTGGATCTTGCTATCATTTTCCTTCTGCAAGCAACATTTAACATCCTTTGAACATTTCCTGAATCACAGATGCTGTGTATTCATTGGGGTGTGGAGAACATGAAAACAATCCAGAGAAATATAAACTCCTTCTAAAATGTGTTTTAACAAGTTATTCCTTATAATTTACATCAATGTGACTACTTAGAGTCATTTAATATGTGTCCCTGCGTGTACATAGTCTGTTTTCCCTAATTGTAAAACCTGTAGTGTATAGAATTCTTCTTTCATTCAGTGATAAAATCTAACCCAAAGCAACCTGACATCTCGACCCCATATTTGTGCCAACTATAATGTTATACATTTTCTACTTAAATTTATTTATTTGATCATGTTTGCTAAAACTTGTAGTATGGTCATAACCGTGGGACAAAATAAAGAATTCTGAAACCGTGTACTGATATTCTACAGAAATGTTAAAATCGACTTAATTCCTGTTTATACTTTCTTCCCTTACAGAGCAGCAAACACGACAAGATGTTTTCTCTCAGCCTGATGAAGTTTTACCTTGGTGTGAAAAAGAAAATGAAGCCACCAACCAGGTAAAGGCTGAAAGGAAAGGGATGAGAGGGAAACAAAACAAAACAGGAATTAAGCCTGTTGAAGGGTTAGGGATGAGCGGCCTTAGTTTAACACCTGTAAATCCAGAAGTCCTTCATCTGTGCCTGGGGTTCTTGGGTGGACAGTCTGCGTAGCTTGTGAGTATATGAGAGGCATGATATTCCCACTGTGGAAAGGGTAAGCTCCTTGCAGACTGCCCTGTACCCTGGATGAGTTAGGAAATCCTAGGGAGACTTCAGCAACTTCCAGATCCCTGGCCTCCCATTCCTTGGTAGGACAGGGCAGTATCTGGGCTGTGAGGATGAATGGTCCAAGCACACTAAATAAAAGAAATTACACACTCCCCTCTACTTCTGATGCTTAACTTTTAGAATATTTTGATCCTAGTTTTGGAATTTTCTCTTAGCTCTAAGAACATGGACACTCTTAAGTATTATGTCTTTTTAATATTTGATGAACATATCTTTTAATTGATACCATAATTTGTTATCACAGCCACTTTGATTACCTAAGCAATACTGTTATATTATTCCAGAAAACTCTATAATGACCTATGGTTCTCAGTTCAGTTATTTCTTATTTCTTTTTTTTTTTTTTTTTTTTTTTTTTTACTTCTGCCTCCCTATTTATTTTTTAAGCTTGAGACAGATATAAGTATTACACATGCACACATACACACACCTCATTTCAGCTATTTTTATAGATATTTGTCCTTAGTATATTCACCATATGTTTTACAATAAAAAAGAAAGCCATACCCAAGACAGACTACTTAGGATAGCACAAAATCATTCATGATTAAGATTCAGAGGCTCAAGGATGTGGTACCTTTATTGGCTGAGTTCTGTTAAGGGGCCTTGTATAGATGACTCACATCATGAGGTAAGACAATGGCAGGCATGTGTTTAACATATTGCCTTCCTTTGTTGCAGTTGGGGATTGACTGCGTATTCTGAAAAGCACCACTGGTAAGTTGACTGGCAGCTTTTGACTTCTACATAATATCAACAACCCTGAGTAAAGAATGACATCATGATATAAGCATACAGAAGGGAAAAAAAAAAAAAAAGAAACTTGTATTAAGTTTAGTTAATTATAATCTCACGTCCTTGTAAATGTCTCTTTCAAGAAACTACACCTGATTTCTTTCTTGGATAGTAGATGATAGAGTTGGAATCCAGCTTTTAGGAGATAAGTAGGCAAAATTAAGGTTCAGGTTTTTAAAGATAAGACCTAAGTTGAAACTTTAAAAACAAAACAAAACAAAACAAAAAAAAACTATAGCCTGTTTTCAAACCTGTTTTCTTTTTGTGGTTTTCTTTACATTGTCTCTCTTCTGCCTGTGTCCCTGATGTCATCAAAAACCTGTTCCTCACTGACCTGTGTAGCTAGTCCCCAGGTTGTATGGTTGGACACTTCCTCCTGCCTTTTCCACCCCAGTCCTAGGGTTCAGGGCCCCTTAGCCTGGCTTATGGGGGAGTATAGTGTTTCTCACACTTCCCACTCTGCTTTAGTTTCCTACTGTGTTCCCTACTCAAACACCACTGACTTCTTTCCTGTGACCACAGACGATGATTTCATGACCGCCTGGTGATGGAAAAAGACATTGCCTTAACAAGACGAATGAAATAGAAAACAAACTTTAGAAATGTCGCCCCCCCCCATTTTTCCAATAAATTGTTTTTACCTATTATTTATAAATAAGTCCAATGATGTAAAGGGTATAACTTATTGGAAATGTTCATTATTTCATTCTAACAGGTACAAAGTTTACCTCTTTAGAAAGGGACCACTTGTCACCACCTCCAGACTCCCTATACCTATGTCTTCTAGTTTCTGTTTTCCTGTAGCATGTCCCTTGGTTTCTCTTACTGTGCTGTTTATATGCATGCACGACCAGCTTCTATAACATACAGCGCAAAGCTTGAGAGCAACAGCTGCTTTATGTTGGGTTTTAGGGAAACATTAGTGGAGTGAGTGCCAGCAGACATGTAGTCATGTTTACCTGATGAGACCATACCCAAGCCCTTTGCTATAAAAGATCTCCACCCCCCATGAAAGTGCACATATGTTCCAATCACGGTCTCTGGAGAAAAGATTCTTTACTGCCACGTGTCTGAAAACACAAAATGACACCGACTCCACCTTCTCAAAGTGTAGCTGGTCATTGTCCTCCTTCCAATGGGAGGTTTACTGACATAGTCCGAGTTTGATTTCATCAAACCACAAGTTTGGAAGAGTACAGATATATTTCTTTATTATTTCTTTCTTTCTTTATTTATTTATCTTATCAATCCCAGTTCCCTCCCTCCCTCTGATGCCCCCCGAAACCCCCCTTTTCCATCCATTCCCCCCACATACTCCACAGGGAGCTTGATGCCTTCTAGGAGGATCATCTGAATCTGAGAAGTCATTTGGAGTAGGGACTAGGTCCAGCCTCCTGCCTCTAGGTTAAGGGAGTATCCCTCCATGGAGAATGTGCTCCCAAAGTTCATTTGTGCACCAGGAGGGATACATCCTGGTTCCACTGTCTGAGGTCCCTTAGACTGCTCAGTCTTCTAACTGAGACCCATGTTCAGAGGGTCTTGGTCGGTCCAATGCTGGTTCCCCAGCTATCAGTCTGGGGAGCCATGAGCTCCCCCTTGTTCAGGTCAGCTGTCTCTGTGGGTTTCTCCAGCCTGGTCTTGACCCCCTTTCTTATTGCTCCTCCCACTCTGCAACTGGATTCCAGGAGTTCGGCTCAATGTTTAGCTGCAGATATATTTCTTGATTATAAAGATACTAACCACAGTGTGGTAGAGCGCCTGTCATTTGCAAGTATTTATTATATAAACCTTGTTTTGTAGGCACCTGTGTTGTGACAGTTTACAAGCCCAGATGGAGTGGATGGCCAGTATCTTTATTGCCCAGGTATGATAATCTATTTTGAGTCTCTAATCTACTCTGAGCTATGGTTAAATGCTAATGTGCTTGTAATTTCCATTGGATTTTCCTTTGTAGTATACACAATTGACACACTTTCTCTTGAAGGTATTTTTACGTATACAAAGACCTACATTTTCCATTATTCTTTGAGAGAGGAGGAAACTATTGTGACTGCCCAGGCTTCTTGTTCCTCCAGTGCAGTATTGCTAAGTTTAGGGAGGATGTGCTGGTCCAGATAGTATCCTTGTCTTAGCTCTCGCTGCTCTGCAGTGGCATACAGTTAGATCTTCATACAGAAGGGTACACTTTGTCTTGGCCTCTCATCCTTCCTCCTCTGTCATCGCAGAAGGAAGGCTAGGAAAGTGCATTTCTTTGATCCCTGTCCTATGGTAAATACTTCATAAGAATCAAGTTTTGTTCCCCTTATGATGGATACCAGAACCCGGGTTTCCTTGAAACTGTTCATTAAAGTAGTGTACCCCTCTCAGAGTTCACGGAGAGCCACAGACCCAGCTTCCCAAATTACTCTTCCATTTGAAGAAACATTATTTTGACAAAGGCCTGTGAATTGAATTGGTTTCGTTTTTAACCTTCTTCTGGCTGAATTAGCAACACTGCTTCCCACAGAGCTTTGGATTGCATGGCTAATGAATAAGGTGTCACTGTTGGCTGTTCAGATCTTTTCATAATTCTTACAATGAATACGTTAACTCTAGTCCTTATTTCTTTTCAAAAGCGTTTCTCTGTGACTTCATTTCCTAACTTTTCCATTGATGACTATAGATGCTTAGATGCCACTTTGTTTGTTTGTTTCTTATAAATGCCCGTGCTTAGCTTGGCTTGTTTCTAGCCAACTTTTCTTAAAGTAAATTATCCTGACTACCTTTTTACCTCTTTATTTTTTTACTTCTTTATATCTTACTTTTACTCTTACTTTGTGGCTGGCTAGGTGGCCGTGTGGCTGTGTGGCTAGGCCCTGATGTCCTCCTCTCCTCTTTTTTTTTTTTTTTCCATTCTTTCCAGATTTTTCCTCCTGTTTATTGTCCCTGCCTGCCGTTCCCACCCATCCTTTCTCCTTCCTTGCTGTTGGCCGTTCAGCTCTTTTTTTAAACCATCAGGTGTTGTAGACAGGCAAAGTAACATAGCTTCACAGAGTTAAATAAATGAAAGCAACACATCTTCCCATGGTTAAACCAATGTTCCAAAGTATAAACAAATGTAACAGTAGATGTCACTTTTAATGTCTTTTGCTTTATCACCCATCTGCTGCATTTGTAGGGAGGGAGAAAAAAAAAAAAAGGTGAATTGTTAACGCTTGAGTCATTTCTTCATTTTGAAAGATCAGATATCTGTACTGTATTTAAAATCCAAAACTAAACGTCACGTATTTTGTTTAAAATTGGAAGCATACAGTCAAAAGCTGTTACATTACAATTAAACTGATGTTTTTGTTTTCATGCGTGGAGTCAGTAGACCTTCCTGTTGACTGCCGAGGACTAAATAGTACCTCCCCATTGTAGCACTAATTAAAAGCATATGTGTAATTAGTTGTTTTGTTTGTGCCTCTTCTGCTATAGTGTAAACTCAGTAAGAACGAGCTTCTTTTTTTGGCTTAAATGTGTATCTGTCTCATGGAGCCTATTGTGCTTTCCAAAATATATACTTAGAGTTTCCAAAATATGAAAACAATGAGTAAAGTAAGCAGGTAACTGGACCAGATCCGAAATGAAAAGTGGAATAAGATGGAGCAATTCTCGTGCGTATTGGGGAAGGAGGTGTCGTATATAAGGCCCAGGCTTAGGGTAGGTTTCAGGGAACGGATTCCTGGAAAGCTGATAGGTGAGCTGAGGTCCATGTAAATGTTCCGGGTATTGGATGGTGGTGTTCCGTGGCAGGGACCAACAGCTCCTAGACTTGCTCATTTCAAAAGTATCTTAAAACTCTCACTAAGGGGAGACATAAGACAAGGAAGGTGTGAGGTCCCTGTTGAGAGCATGAATCCAGGGAAGATATAATTGTACTATTTTTAATTGGAAAACAATATTGAGACAACAATGCAGAGTCAGAGGTGGAAACAGGAAGAAGAGCTGGGTGGGGACACAACAGAAATTAAAGACGACCCCAATTTTGTGTTTGCTTAGAAGAAGACTTTTATTTCTTCTGTTGAAGTAGGCCTTATTGTTTTTTTTTTATTATTATTTTTATTTTTTCTTTTGAGCTCTTTTCTGGAGTAAATCTTCTATTTTATTAGATGTCATGTTTTATACTAAAGGTAAGCCCTGTGTATGGGGCACCATGACCATGAAATTGGCATCTTCTTGCTGTACATCCATAGTGAGGTCTGTCTGCCTTCTGCAGCGCCTCCTAGTGAGTCAGAATAGCTCAGCCCTTAAGTACAACATTAGTAAATTATAATTTTGTTATACTTCAAAGTCTGAATACTTAATGGTTTTTAATTTGTTGCATTTGGAGTAATGATATTATCATAGCTTCATATTTCTAAGTAAGTGAAATTTTATCACTTCCTATGAAACTTGAGGGTGCAAATAAACACAAGAATAGGTGTTCTTCTCACTGATAACCTGTTTTTTGGTGTGTGTGTGTGGGTCTTGTGGCTTCTTTGCTCTTTTTCATCCTTTGTTTGAAAGCATTTTAAGGACCTAGAAAATTGATGATAGTAAAACTGTTACCAGAGCTATAGGAGAAAACCAAGAGTTCTCTTAGATCAAGTGGAGCTCATGATATCAGTGAGAGACACAAATCAGCATGCTGGGTTGCAACCCAGTCTTTAAAAATGTAGGCAATGAAAACAAACATTTATAGAAAATATTTGGGAATTTGGGCGTCGTTCTTTCCAAACTACTTCCTGCTGGTAAGTGGCGCTGTCATGGGGGATTCTAAGAAGATACAGAAATCCTGGCTGTAGTCCATAAGGCTGAATGTAGAACCACCTGGTACTCTGTTTCAGGCGGTCTGGCTTGATCAAACCACATTAGTCTGGAAGGAATCCACATCTTTTCATTTTCTGTGGAAACAAAAATAGAAATCCTTTTCCCCAGTAACTTGTCCTTGAACTTAAATTTTGGAGTCAAAGGGACTTGGTTATATAAAATAAATATATATATTAAAAAAATAAGTAAAGGGATAGTAGGAAAACACTCTATGATTGGAAATTGGGCTCTTACATTTGCATATTATTTATAGTATTTAAACCATTACTTAGATATTTGCTTAGCTTTAATCAATTGCCTACATTAGAAGAAAGAATATAATTCACGTAACTAAAATCAAGTCTGCGTATGCAAACAGTCCAAAGACATGAAAATTTCTTTACGAACATTGTTAAACACCAAATTTGTTTATGGTACTTTAAAATTTAATAAAAAATGTAGATTTAAAAAAATGTAGGCAAATGAGGTTGAAATGTATATGTGGATCAAGTTGGCATTTGGATTGCATTGGAAGCTGGAAGAGTACGGACGTTGAGAAATGAAGTACAGAGGGAGAAACAGACCTGTTTAGTAAACCCTGGGGTGTTCCATATTTTGGAGTAGAGTAGACTTGAAAATAAAACAGAAGGTGTAAGAAGGAATGATAAGAAAATCACAGGTAGAGGTAATGAGTTTCTGACTAGTGTGGTTAGTTATGGGTATGAAACCAATGTAGGTTTTGTGATGTCAATCGAATCGACTATAATGTGGGATAGTATATAATTTTCACATATGCCAACCGAAATAATCCAGTAACTAGGAGAGTCATATAGGCCACGATCAGACATAAGGAAACACGGTTGCTTATCATTACTCAAACTCATTATACATCAGAGAGAGTGGTAGATTGTTTAGCTCAGATGATTGGCTACAGTTCAGTTATATCCTGGCCTACTGGGCAGTGTAAGATATAATGGAGAAAGGTTACTTGCAATTAAAACAATTGCTCACAGCAAAGAAAAGGAAAACTCAGTTACATGGCTATGGATGTAGGGAAATTAGTATATCTTACAATATAAAATTATGTATTTAACTGGTTAGTGTTAATTGTTTGAATGAAATCATTGGGTCTAGCACTTGCGAGGCAGGAAAGGCTGTTAAAAGTTTTGGGGAGAAGTAAGAACTAATATTAAAATAATGAGGAAACTAAGTGTCCCGTGGCAGTGTTTGCTAATCACTGTACGTTAACTTTAAAGTGAAATGGATCGACAGAAAAGTCATCTGTAATTTCATTCATCAGCTAGCATGTACTATTGAAACAAGCAAATTATGATGAAGTCCAGGTCTTTGAAGAGACAAATGTAATAGAAGGGGTAGGGGAAAGCACAGGTCTTGAGGAAAATTATGAGGAAGTGGATTTACTAATTCACTATGAAATCTAAGCCAATGACAGGAAAAAGGAGAATTTAGATGATAGTGAGGAGCTTCCAGGATCAAAAGTCAAGAAAGGACTAGGCAAGAAAGTGAGAAGCAGATGACCACAATACAATCCCCAGCTGGATAATCTCTTGTTATGTGACTTCTGAAATCACTTACTAATATCTTACAAATGTCCATTGGAAGCATTCACTTAGACCTGGACCATCCCCGCCATATGCATAGCATGTCCATTTACCCCAAGAATTTGCAAGCACAATTTACAAAATTACCGAGTTCCTGTTCAGCCTGTTTTCTCTCAGCTTTACTTCTTAAGAACATCCTTGTGATAAGGCATCAAAGGTATTTTGGAGAGTCACAACATAAAAAGTAATAGAGTGAAGTCTGAGACTTTTTCAGTTATTAAATATTATGTAATCTATCTTATAGCTTTTATGGATTGAGATAAATGTTTCCATAATTTTAAGCGATATTTATCAAGCCTGACAATAATTGGACCTTAGCTGTAGAACTCTTCAGGATTAAATGAATTTATTTATACTGGTAAATGCAAAATGTGCTCCTCATTGTAAATAAGCAGTACAATATAATGAATATTGTCAATATTTCTGGAAATGAATTTTTTACAATAGAACTGTATGTTAAAATCCTAAGTACACATTAAAAAATTTGCCAATGCATCTTAAAATTTGAACAATGTAAAGGGCAGGGTTTTAGTTATGTATAATTACCATTTTATTTCATCAAATATCTTTATACACGTTTTAGTTTGGTATTTACTGTTTGTTTCTTTAATAGATTGCTGTCTGAGAATCAATTTGCTTTTTCCTACTTCTAAAATGTTAATCTACCCTAGGAAATAGAAAAATTCTTTAAATAACTTTTCATATGTGTATTTTGAGGATTAAGCTCTCAGAGCTTGCAGTTTTACCTGTGGGCACTTATCCCCCATTGCAAAATTAAGTTTTTTTTTTTTTGTTTTTGTTTTTTGTTTTTATTCTAGGCATGACTATGATGGTTTAGTGAACTAATTTGAGGACAAATGCACCATTCTTTCTGTTTTAGAGTGATTTTCACTATAAATGTGTGTGTAAAAGGGTAACATTTCTTTGAAATTCAATTAGATGAAAAAGAACCATTTTTGAAAAGGCCACAAAATAGGGCTAATTTTTTTTTTTCAGATATCCATGCCTTAGGTCATTTTGGGATATACAAGATCAAATTACTTTCATATTAAAAATCACCTTTGATATAAACAGGACGTAAATATTGAGTTACTTCGATTACAGAGGCTAGAAAATATAGACAAGCACATTATTTTTGTTTTACAAAGAGACTTGCCATTTTCCTCCAGTGTTTTCTACCATTTGGTTTGATAAGTAGTACTGAAGGCATGTGTTTGAAATGTAGAAATTGAACTGAGACCTCAAAGCTCGGTTCACTTAAGAGTTTCACGTCCTGGAGCCATGTGCCTGCCGGAGTCAATGTCGAAGTAATTACAAATGGCATTCTCACAGAAAGTAGATTATTTGGCGTGGACGTGTGGGGGAGCCAAGTGACTAATGTGGTGTAGCACATAATGAAATCACACACCGATGGCACTAAACTGTGTTTCCACAGCACGAGAATGATATATGGCCACCAGCTGGAAAAGAACGAAAGCGTTCAATAACCAAAAATCCCAAGATTGGAGGCTTACCTCTGATTCCCATCCAACATGAGAGGGGTACAACCCAGGCCCGGAAGAATATTGAGGTTGGTTATCATTTTGTTGTTCTTATTGTAACCTCCACCACTTATTTTTCCTACGACTCAACATGGCTGAGTAGATTAATTATCTCATTGGCTTCAGAATATCAGTAACCACTTTGCCCAGCTCAATAAGGTCCATAGTACATGAAGAGAACTTTGTCAGTAATCCTAAAACCATTGACCAAGCATCACATGTACATGACGCCACTCACGGTCTCTCAAGTAGTAAAGTGATTTTATGTCTTTAACTAGAAACCCTGGTTTCAAAGCCGATCTCAAATCAATTTCACAAGATTACTTACAGCAGCCATTGAGTGAAAATGGAGCAAAAAAAAAAAAAGTGCTTAGATCATGTCACAGATACTCAAGTCTAATGTCACAATCACAACCCAGGCTTGGAGGAACCTCTGGATATGAATACAAAAATACAAATGATTTGACATTTTGCAACAAAGTGACTGTTTTTCTCTTTGCTGTCTTATGGCATGGAAGAACATACTCACTGTCAATCAGGACATAAAGTTGAGTTGGGTTTTTGGGAGAGAACATGGCTGCACATACTCAAAGCTCTCTTTAGAAATGACCCTTGGCATAGTAACTGAGTTTTTCAGAGAATTAAGAAACAAACAGAAAACAACCTGTGTAAAAGGTGATACAGATGATATATTCTTTGACTTTAATTTAGGCTAAGCTGTTAGAATCATTCTTTTCAAACACTGCACTGAAGTAGGCATATCTTGTACATGTTTTGCTTGTGCCAGAGTATACTTGAATGTTGGTCTTCGTGATCTTATGTAACAAGAGGAAAATGTGTCTCTAAGAAACTAGGACTGAACCTCTGCCCATTCTGCACCTACAGCTTTTGACATTAGCCCACTTTGCAGGGGTGTGGGGTACTTAGTCAAGAATCTTAATTTGAAAAGTCGCATCGCGTAGGCACCTGGGCCAGAGAATCACAGGCTGATCAATGAAGCTTTTATTGAGAGGGTGTTTGCCTTTCAGGAAACACAGTGTCTCCTGACACTGCATTGTGACCAGTAAAGGAACAAATAAAAGATAAAATCTTAAGATAAAAATACATTAACCAGTATCAGCTACAGATAAATAAATCTACAAAATATTCCTAATCCTCAAACCACAATTTTAAGTATGATTTTTTAACATACCTAGAATTTTAAAAAATGAAAAAAAAAAAAAAAAAAAAAAAACAGATGAACTAAACCTGAGAAGTGCTGAATGTTCTTAGAATAATTCTATGTAAGATTGATTGCTAAAAATGTATGAATCATTAAAATAAACCAAATTCTTTTGTAATTTAATAAATTTAATAAATTTGGCAGAGCTTTTTTTGGGTTTTTTTTAAGACAGGGTCTCTCTGTATTGCTTTGGATCCTGTCCTAGAACTTGCTCTGTAGACCAGGCTGGCCTCGAGCTTACCAGAGATCCACCTGCCTCTGCCTCTCGAGTGCTGTGTTTAAAGCATGTGCCAACAATGCCCAGTGAGATATTTTAAAACTGTCCCAATACTTTTAAAACACTAAAACTTACTTTAAAGGGTATAAAGGCAACATTAATTAAAAACAATTTTTTTCTTATGAACCATTAAGAATTTTACTATAGAATTAGAGCAACATGTTTATATTAGAGAATATAACTACAAAATACCTAAGAATTCTTGCTCTTGGTTTTAAAATTAATATGATTTAAAATCACCACGTAGAATGCATTGCTAAGAAATAATACAATTGTATCATGACGTGCAGTCAGGAAATGTTACTTTGCAAAGTAGTTGTTGGCATTCTGGCAAATGTTGACTTGATTTTCATACATTTCCTTTGAAAGAAGTTTCATGAGTGCCTGATGTAGACAGGGAAGGCTTCCTGGGGACGTCTAACATTAAGTTGGTAAATTACCAGTAAGATAACTGAAGAAATCTAGAAATGAAAATTGTTGGTTGTAGAAACTTCCTAGGAAGAGGCAAATGAAATACTTAGACTCCATACTCCTTGTGGCTCACCCACTTCCCATAAAATTGTGAACTCCTTCTTAAACTTAGGTTCTTCAGTTGCTTTCCCTATATGGAACTAGTAGTCCCTTCTTCACAGTGTTATCAATGGTGACTAAGTTCTGCTGTACGCTGCACACGAGGATTTATGAGAATGAGGCCTTTCTTGCGGCTAATACACACTGAGACAAAGTCATGAGGAGCATGGAGGACAAAATGGGATTATTCATTCCAACACTCTATTCATAGTTGGGCATGGTATTGTGGCCCTTTATTTCAAGCTAATCAAAGAGTTGCGTAGGAGGAGACTTGGGCCCAGAGTTACAGGCTAATGTCGGCAGTATAGCGATAGCTTGTGTCAAAAGGAAAAAAGATCTTGAAACATCTGTAAAATAAAAACAATGAAGAAAAACAACTCACATAAAACAACAACAAAACAGATGGTAAATTCGAATTCCAGTCTCTCTCCCCATCTTCACTCAGTGGCCATTTGACGCGATGGAAAAGAACTCATAGGCCAGCCCGACACCCCGCTCCTACCCTCCTAAGTGTTTCCATGCAAACTGCTTGATTCTTGGATTTTTTGTTTGTGCACCTTTACAAAGTAAGCAGTGACATTGTATCAGGACTTAAACCCCATTTTATAACACAGATATTATCCATTTATGCAGAAGTTCATCAAGGGAAGTCACTCCGGATTTCTCCACACTCATATTCATACGTGTTGGTCACGTTATGTTTTGTCATAATTATCCGATGCCCGTGACCCCCATGCCTGGGAAACTCTGTGAGCATCAGACAAAACATGTGAAGGATTTGCTCTGAGAAGTTGTTCTCCATCCATTGCTCTGGCTGTAAGAGTGGGAGCTGCTATCTGAAACTCCATTTCTGTCAAACCCCAAGGCAATACGAACTGGCCCTGCCTGTGCCACCTTCTCTCCTGGTTACCTTTGCCACCTACATCTCTCTGTTGAAGTAATGGCTTCATCATTTAATGCCACTGCCACACCACCCTTCCCCTCATGCAGGACACATAACACATATACTATGAGTTGTGTAGCGCACATATGATCTCGTACTCTCACTTTCCCATTATTTGACTTTTAACATGTTACTTCTACCACATGTTCCTGCCTTCAGGCACAATTATACATCACTAATGCTGTATGTAATACTGCTTGAGTACTTCACCCTTAAGTTATGCATCAAAAAAAAAAAAAAAAAAAAAAAAAAGCCAAAGTTGTTGCTTGTTTGCTTGCTTTGGTTTGGTGTTTTTGCCGTTTGATAGTTGAAAGATAGTAGGGTTGATCACTGTGAGATAGATGATGGCTGAATGGATAGATAATAGATGAGATAGATAGATAGATAGACAGACAGACAGACAGACAGACAGACAGAGAGACAGACAGATAGAGCTATATCTTACACTTACTGAATTGTACTACTCTGAGAACCTGAGGCAATTTCCCTCAGATATATATTGCCCGGCCAATAGATATCACACATTCTGCCTTTCAGAATCCATCCTTTATTCCTTGCAGATGATTGCTTCTAGGACCCGCCAGTACTCTAACCTACTGATATAAAAATGGGTATTAATACATGCAAACACCATATTCCAGTAACTTTAAAAGCTGACTGAGAAATCAGAGCAAGTGTTATATTGGGAAAACTTCCACTGGTTAAACATGATGGGAGAAAAGTAAAGCAGGAAGACAAGTTGAGTAGATTAGTATACAACACTGATTCTCAGTTTCTTTACTATGCTGACTTATATATCGTGACTATGAAATTAGGGGTTATAACTCTGAGGCATGGACATAAATCCAGATATCAAAGGTCAGCAACGGAACTGTCATTTCTACCTGCTGTGAGAGGGGAAAAAAATAATCACCTTTCTCCAATGGAATGACGCTGTGTATCTCAACCACTCTGGGGCAGATCTCATGTTCTGGAGTAGGCAATCAACAAATAATAGACTTCACAAATTTTATGTGTGTGTTTATTTGATTGTAGTATGATATCTGTCTTGTTTTATTGTTAGGTGTTGTATTTTGTCCTCTAGGATTTAGGTGTTTTGTTGTTAAGTTGCTTTTGATTTGCTTTTTGATGAAACGCACAACACGCGTGTGCGCGCACACACACATACACACACACACACACACACACTGAAGTAAAGAATGGGAAGCATCAACTCTTTGCTGAGTGTATTTGCTAAGCATCGATTATCTCAATCGTTGGTTTACTCTGACACATTTGATTTGATTCTGCATGATTTTAGAGTGCAAGAGCAGAACTGGAACGGCTGCGGCTGGGTGAAACGCGTGACCGAGACTTCACGGACCCCAGCCTGAAAGACAGAGCCTCCCTCATAGCCCAGTGCTTGGAGCACAAAGACGACAAACTTCGGAATCGTGCCAGGAAACACCGCAGTTTCAACTGCTTGGAGGACACAGAGGCGGAGGTCCCACCCAGCCTACCAAGGGGCTGTAAAGGCCCTAAGACCCTCAAGAAGACTGAGGACAGGAACAGCAAGACTGCCTTAGAACCCGATCATAAGCTGCCATCAAAAGTCATCGAGGAGCTTAGTGTGGTTCTGCAGAGGTCGAGAACCCTCCCAAAAGAGATGCAGGATGAACAGACATCACAGAAAGAAATAAAATGAATCACCACACGAGTTATTATTTTTTTTCTTAACGTTGTGTGCAAACCAGGAATCAAACTGTAATTCTTGAAGTCCTTTGTCTAGACAAATTTCTCTGTATTTAAGAAATTTGTTCATCTATACCTAAGCATTTAAAGGACATTTTAAAATATGTATATATGTGATTAAGTATAAGATCAACTTTATTTTGGTCTGGAAACTTGTAAAGTTCAATTGTATTAACTGTAATAAGTCTTTGGGTTACTGTAAGTGGCCAGATCTTTGAAAGTAATTGTGTAAGTGGGGGTTATTTATGAGCAGAAATCTGTACTGTATTGTAAAAAATGTTGTGTGTACATGAAAGCCTTTGAAGTTGTATCATATTTTGCACTTTGAAGAGGCTTGTATATTAAGTTGCCGTGTATTTTTAGGTTTACATAGCATCCATCTTAGGGAAAAGAAAGGGAAATGAGTTCAAAAGGGAAAAGATTACTGTAGTGCCTGTTCAACAAACATTGGGAACAAAGGCAAGAAGTTAAGAAAATATTCCATTGCCCATGGAGGTGACCTCAGATTCATTCTCATTCACCAAGAAACAAAACATGTTAAAGAGAAACTGCTTGTTAGGAAAAAATAAACCCTGGTGTCTTGAGTGTTTTCGACAATAATATCCAGCCAGCCCGTCAGTGGTGGCACAGGTCACTGTCATTTATGAGATCAGTAGACAAGCCCCAACACATATTCAGAGACATTTTTCAGTGTCTACTTAGAGGATCTGGCATTGCACTGAAGAGTGTGTGCATGGATCCAGCCCATATGTTATTTGCACAGTTGCTGCATGCAGACAATTCTTTAGGGCTCCCAACTGTGTTTATGGTACGAACAAAATTCATCACCATGGGATTCATTGCTATTTTTCCTTTATCCTGTTTCTGATTGAAGATGTTGCTTCGTTTTTACAATGTAAGGTTGTAAGTCTTAACTTCTGCATTGTCAGTATCAACTGCCAGTGTGTAATATGTGGCCATTTGAAGGAGCCAGTGGCTAATTACGTAACACATTTGCAGGCGGGCACTTCATGTTCCATTTAGCATTTCCCCTACCTTTGGAAATGACATATCCCTGTATTTTTGTTGAGACATAATAATCAGGTACAGACTTGAGAGTTTTCATGAATCAGACTACACTAGCATCAAGGACAGCACTTTTTACTAATTTTATTTCCCAAGTTGAGTTGACGTGTTTTACAACTGCAGGTTATATAGCTGATCTTTATTCCTGGTGAGTCTGTGTCCTCTCCTGTATTTGGGGTCTTTTCTATGTGCTAAATCCCTTGTTTCAGTCTCTCTCTCATCATAGGCAAGCAACATGCTACGAAGTAATAGAGCTGTCTTCAACTGAGAAAGGCTAACCTCTTTTATTTGTTAGGGATTACAGAGTTTACCAGGAGTAAGTGGTATTTATTCTTTAAATCCAAATAAAATGTAATTGAAATAAAAAGTAGAACTGCGTGGCAGTTTTATGAGCTGGTGGCACTACCGAGGAACCTCCTTTAAAACAAGATATTGTGTGGTTTGGGAAGGAAACTTAATTTTAGTAAACTTATTTCTAATAATGATATTTATATTTTTATGAAATAAAGAGACATATGGAAATAAATATGATTGGCCTTGTGGCAAAGTGTTGTGCGCTTAGACTTACCTTAAGGGAATTTCTCCTGAAAGTTGGGCTTGAAATCTGTCCACTTCTGTCTTTCCTTCTTTTCATGAATGATTGTCTCTATTTTCAAAATGTAACGTAAGGGCTAATGGTTACATCTCACCGATTTTGAGTAAAAATTAAAATAGTTTTGCAAGTCCACTGTAGTGTGACTCTTCTCTATTTCCATTACTCTCAGAAGTCAACTTTTTCTGGCGAAATGAATCAAATGCTTTTTATTCTCTCTTTTTCTGTTTAAAAAAAAATTTTTAAATCTAACTGTCCTCTGTCATTTTAGAAGCACATCAAAACAAATGTTTTATTTTAAAGTCTGAGTACCTGCATGTATTTCCTAAAAGGAGTGACAGTCCTCAACTTTCATTTCTGCTCCTGGAAACTCAGTTATCAACCATGATCTACAGTGACATTACCTGGTGGTTCATCAAAATGGCCCTGAGAACTGGAGGAAAAGCTCTGCGTTATGGGCAGATCAGCTGCCGGTTGGCATTGCTCATAAGACAAATTTTAGATTCTAAAGCATTTGAAAAGTGCATATTGCAGAAGCAGGAGCTTTAGAAAATGGGGGATGCTTTTTAACATCTTATTAGCATGTACAAAGATGACTCACACTCTTACCAGCTATCGGAATTTCCTCCATAACACACCACTCAACAGAAGTGAGACGGAAGCTTAAAATGTGAACATTTTGGCATCACGTGCATCTATATTTATCTCTAATTGGAAACTACACGCTAACAAGTCCTACAGATTACTAAAGTGTGTCTCTTTTAAAGCATGCAGTTATTTTGGTTTAGTATACTTTGACATGTTCACAATTGAATTGTCTACACCTTCTCTCTCATGAATGTATATGTAGATTGTCAAATTTTAATAACTCATACCTTTTCCAAGCTAAGACTTTACATTTTTTATATTAAAATATCTTTATTTAAATCAGAGCAATAACTACCTTATACATAGTTGTTTTGTGATGGCCATTGTGTACATGTACAATTCATCAATGAACAGACATGCATTATAAGTCAAGTGTATGAGGCAAATTGGTAAATAATAATAGTATAATCAGGATCAATCTATATTAATGTGTTTGTATAGGTCTCATTTTACCTAAAGAGCTATTCTCTGGCTTTCAGAGTGCTTCTAGTGGTTTTCTTTTCCTTTTATACTAAATTGCAAACTAATGAAACCAATTTCCACATTTTATTGATTGAATTGTCCTAACAGCTAACATTTAGCCATAACCTTCAAAAATCTCAAAAAGGAACTTCCTTTGAGGTAGGTCTTTTCAGTCCTTTCAAGAATGGCTTGCATTGACAGCAGACCGTGAAAGTAAGCTCTGTTCTGTTCTGAGAAGTGCCTGAGGAGGACATTAAGGCATGCAAAAGAGAAAATTGTGTGGGTGGATTCATGCCCAATAGGACCACTGTGTCTCCCTCCCAAATATGCACCACTGACGACTACACTATATCTCAAACTCTATGTTTCTTGACTTTTCCATCCCACACCTTCTTATTGTTTCCCATGTCAAAAACTTAGGGGATAAAGACTAAGTGGGTCATTTAGCTCATGAGTGACAGACTAACTTTTCAGTCTAGTACAGAGTAGCTTTAAAACTTCCTAGGTTTCTGGATGAAAGTTCTTTGATGACAGGGTACTCACCCATGTGATTATAGGCGAAGGCCAGTCTGGGCACCCTCTGCAGTATTGCTATGAACTAACTTTTTGAAGCCCATTCCCTATATGTGGATGCCTTGCTCAGCCTGGATGCAGGAGGGGTGTGGGTTAGTCCTCCCTCAACTGAATGTGCCAGGCTTTGGTTAATCCCCATGGGAGGCCTTACCCTTTCTGAGGAGTGGGTGGAGATGGGTTGTTTGGGGTAGGTGGCGAGGGAGGGGGAACTGTGGTTGGTACGTAAAATGAATAAAAGAATAAAATTTTAAAAAGCTTTTGATGTTTCAGTTAGAGAAAAATGAGTGGAAAATTTGTAGGAAAGTGTCATAGGCAAGGATGCATATATTTCCTGGGCATCTGCTTAAAATGGGATATTTATATGTATATAATGTATGTATATATGCATATTATACATTATGTATTATATATATATATATATATATTAAACTGGATGAAAATGATAACAGTAAGATGGTAAGTAAAATCCCCAATATATCACTAACCACTTCAAGTCAAAATAAAATATGAATTCAGCACATATGTTCTTCCCTTTAGATACGTTTTGACTTTAAAATTGGTGTTTAAAGTCAAAACTTGAGTGGACATATTCGTGCTATAGAGACATTAATTTCCAACAAAGCCGATGTCCCTGAACTTTCATAATACAACATTCTTTATGAACAGAAGGTTTATTTCAGAAAATATATTTTTTTTCCTATGAGAGAGGTCATTCCTCCAGGGAGATATAAATGAATAAGCTCTTCTATCTCTAATACAATTAATTGTAACCTTCAAGATGCAAAACCCAAGTTCAGAATCATAGGAGAAAATGTCACCCTGGACAGGTGGAAGTGCTTAAAAGCATAACCAATTTTACAAATATGCATCAGTAAACTTTGTACCACCACACACTTTCTACAAATGACTATCCCAATGAAAAGATTTTTATATTCATCCACATAATACTGCAGGACTTCATGGATATAGCCAGTATTCTTGAATAAATATGAATCGATCGTGTTTCTAAAAAATTTTTCCAAGCTAGTCTATTGCCATGTAAAAATAGTGAGAGGCCTTCAAAGAAATATTTCTTCTCTAATAAATGAACTTAACATCATTATGCTAAATTAAAACCTTTTCTCTTTCTCTCAGATAAATGTGTGGTATTATAAGATAGAAAGATCTGAAGCAAATGGGTTAATCACTCATTTTCCAATTATGTAGGAGAAAAGGAAATTAGACATCTAAATAACAGTTTAGAACTCATTAGAAGTTACATGCTGAACGTGATATAGTTTACTAATAGAGAGATCCTTATATTCTCATATTGGCATAGATTATACCTAACCATGAAAGTTGTGTGTATTCATAAGCCAAGTATACACACCTGACAGGTAAATAAGAAATTATCACAGAGTTTTAAATCATTACATCTTATCTTAGGCTCAGCGATGGATTCTGTAGCTATGTCTACAGAATGTTTCAATAATATTTAAAATATCTCAACCAACATAATTCAAACACTGGAAACGCTTAAATAAATGTTAGTATAGTTGACTATTCAAATGACAATCAAAGCTAGTAGTTAGTGCATATGTTAAAAGATGTGAGTTACAATCACTTAATTTAAACAGAAACAGGCTATTTCTATTGGTACATATTTTAAATTACTTCTGCAAAGCAGCTCCTGTAACCAATCATTTTAAATGCATTACAAGCATCCAGCAGGGATTCAGAATTGTTGTTTATAATCTCAGGATAAAGTACATAGTTTTGAGTCAGCATAAATTGGAGCAACTAGCTCTTTTACACATAGTAAGATATTCCATATTTTTATACATGCAATGGAATGATGTGGGATGTTCTTCTGTAGCTGTGGCTATGTGTTGCTTTGAATGGTTGATGAGTAAAGCTAATTTGGCCTATGTCAGGGCAGAATATAGCTGGGTGAAAAAGCCAAACTGAATACAGACAGAAAAAAGGTGGGCAGACACCAACCACCGCCAGAGAAGCAAGATGTGAGGTAATGCCACAGACACGTGGCAATAAGTAAATCAATAGAAATGGTTTAATTTAAATGTAAGAGTTAGTAATGAGCCTAAGCTATTGTCCAAAGCATTACAATTAATAATAAAGCCTCTGAGTGACTATTTTGTAAGTGGCTTCAGGTCAGAAAAGCATCCAGCTACTGATACTTTTGTTTAATATTGTATGTGTTCTCATGTTTTTGGATGACTCTTTGTTTCCTTTTCCCTGTAATATTTAAATGGAAGATTGGGTAAATCTCTCTTATTTTTCTCTATATAGCTATCATTTTATCCTGGATTCTAGACCTAGTATTTTCCATTCAGACTAGTACTCATTTTTTTTTCAACATGATTTTGGAGATGTATTTTATTTCAAATAAATTCTACATGTTATTTCCAAAATAGATTAAATTTAAATGCATGGAATAAGCAGCAGTAGAAATACCTATATTTCAGTTAGGAGTTCTGGATGCCTTTCTACTTACCAGTGGTGGTAGAAAAGAATTATACTGAAATAAAATTGGAATATTTATATTTGAGAACTCATTGAGTACTAACTACCCAGCAAAGAGCAATGGATGGTATGCAGTCGTAAAATACATTTTAATGGCTTATTTTTAAATTTTACAGCTTTGTGCTTCTTCCATATTCCCTTCCTCCATTTAACATCAATAAAGTGACTTTAGTATAAACATTTTAATAATTATCTCTTCTTTCTCATATTCATACAAAAATGTATCACATCCTTATTACTATTTTAAACATTAAACTAATTTAGCTATAATTGAGAAACTATACTATAACAAAGAGATAACTCTGTTTCATGTAGTGCTAGTCCTTGGAGAATCATTGGGTCCATACCAATGATAGAAGAGACCTTCAATTAGTTAAAAACACACACACACACACACACACACACACACACACACACACAAGCAAGTCACTAAATAACTTTAGAAAAACTTGGAAAACAACAGTTCCCCAAGATATCCCTACATATACCATCTTGATGAGTGATGCAAGAACTGGCTATTTATAAACAAAAGTGTAAATATTCTAGTTATTAAGAAATAGAAAATTTAAGCCATGTGTTGGTGGTGCATGCCTTTAATCCCAATGCTCAGGAGGCAGAGGCAGGTGGATCTCTGTGAGTTGGAGGCCAGTCTGGTCTACAGAGTGAGTTCCATGACAGGTTCCAAAGAAACCCTGTCATGAAAAACAAACAAAAGAAATATAAAATCTGTAGGTAAATAGATAAAGCTAAAAAAAGAAAAAAATAAGTCATCCTGAGTGAGATAACCCAGACCCCCAAATGACAATTGTACTATGCATTTGTTTATATGTGGATGTTAGCTGTTAATTCTTTAGTAAGCAGACTCAGACTATAATTCATATAATCACAGTGGCTAATTGTAAAGTAAGGGACTAAAGGGGAGGGAGGGACC